TAGATCGCTTATTTAAACAATTATAATAAATCCTATTTAAATGAAGGCTCGAGATATATAAGCATTTTTTCAATAGACATCAATCAATGAATGTGGAAATTATATGTATATATCTAATGAATAGTATAAGAAGACCACTTTCTTGTTGTTGTTCTTAACATTCAGTCAGTTATGTGCTATGCGTGATATACACTTTCGTGCCATGCGTGATATACACTTTCAATACAGGATTGATGACGAAGATTTTTATCGCAATAGGTTGCCATTTCTTTCGCAGTAGACCAGTTGCCATCCAAGGCTATAGAACCCGCTGGGGTCAGGGGAGAAGAAGAGAAATCATACCTTTCCGAAGAATTGGAGAGCAGAGTTCGACTTCATGTCGAATCCATTACATTCACTTACGCGCTAATAATAACAAATAATAAGAGAAAAAAGTATCTGTGTTAAAACAATTAGTTAAAAATAAACAAAAGAAAAATAAACGTTACAACAACAAAACGATTTCCTAGAAAATTCTTCCAATTAAAAATTAAATGTGTGTATGTTTTATTGTCCAGAACGACTGCCATTTCCGTTATGAGCACACCGTGAGGCAGACTACTGAAAACATCCGAAGGCTTTAAAGATGTGATGTCATTAGAAGAGTTAGCCTATTTTCTGTGTGTAGTATAATTGTCTATGTGAATGTATTTTAATTCTATAGTAAATATGACGAATCATATAATTGTACAAGTATTACTAAATTAGATCATTTGATAAAGACTGTATATTACATTTTCGACCTGCTTAACAAAATTTCCGAAAACTAACAACATAAAAAGTACAAAAATACACGGGGTCAATTAAATTTGATTGTGATTATTTGTATGAATTGATAAGAGTAAATTTCCCAAGCTTCAATGAATTATTCGTATGTCTAAGTGTGATGTATTCTGTTGGCGAAAGAACTGACTCAGTTGTGTATCTCTTTATATAAGAATATGTAACACAAAATTCGGTTGTCTTATTTGTATTGCTATCATACTAATCACATACAGGGTATTAAATTTTCGAAAAGAAAAAAAGAAAATTTGATATTAGGATCAACATTGGTCAGAAGTTTCACAAAAATAAGTATGCGCTAAAAGTGTTTTTCTTTTTTTTCTTCTCAACGCTAATGATGACAGAGATGAGTAATAATTCATGAATGTAATTCAGGAAAAAATGATCGGAAGTATTTCGGAAACAATATTGAATATAAATTTATGCGCCAAAAATATAAATAAAAATGTCCGCGACAAGTTATTCCGTGTGCTTCATTTAGAAAAAGAAGGAAGGGTAAAAATGGTGGATGGAATCTCTTGACGCATGCTCAATTATTTGCAGAGTGTGCAGATATAAAACGGCACGCAATCTGGCCATTGAGTGTACATCTCCAGAGAAGGCTAGGCTTTTTATTTTTATTTTTGTTTAAGTCAGTAAAAGTAGATCAAATAACTTCTAATCGATAGACACGTTTCCTCATTTATTTCTATGGTATTGTTTTGTCCTATCCTGTCTTTGAGTACGTATATCGATAAATAGGAAATAAGTGTGAATGCGTTTTATACCAATAAATTCTAATACTTAAATTTACCATATATATATATATATATATATATATATATATATATGGGGGGTTAATACGTCCGTGTGGTGTGAGTGTGTGCGTGATAATATAAAAATTCTAGATGCTTAATGCTAGCAAATAATATAGAAAAAGCTATATAATATAGCGTATATAAAATATAACGGAATTTCTGCAGAAATAAATAATATATATATATATGTGTGTGTGTCTGTGTGTGTGTGTGTCTGTGTGTGGGTGTGTTTATTTAATTGTAATCCTAACGAATTCCAAGAGGAAAAATCCTAAATAATCTTGTAAGTACTAATATATTCCCCACAAATCCCAGTAAAAAATAAAACTACTTATATAGTATACTAAAATTAATGGAACCAATCCAGCCAACTTAATCTTCCGTAATAAAAACTTTCATAAATAAATGACTTTCGAGCGATTATTTTTGACAAAAAAAGTAAATATATATGTTGGGTTCACAACAACATTATCAACACGGCTTACACTACATATGTCGGATATAAGCTCTATCACACACATTCCTATCTTCCTTCACATTTAGAAAATATTTGTTGATAACACGAGTATACTCCACTATGTAAATAAAACAAAACCTTCAAATTATCGAGGCTCTCTATATAAAGAGCAAACAAGAAACATTAAATAAGATTAGTTATTAGTATAGTAACAATGTTTTACAATGTTTATAATCGCAATGTTTTTTAAAATGATGGAAATTATAATTTATTAAATTATAATTACCACCCTTAGATCAATAAACATGAAAAAAGTCATAGCTTTAAGAGGTTTCAATTACGAATAACAGAGCGCATTTCATGAGTGTTTACGAAAAAATCACAATTGGTAACATTAATATTTTTGTCTTAGCAATCCCTGTAGATCATATCGGATGAGACTGAAAATACTTATGAAAATAAAAGAAAAAAAACATAAAACTAGGGTGTCTTCCTTAATTAATTCAATATCAACATTAAGAAGTCAATCAGAGAATTCAAGAGGTTACAACATATCTAGATTATTGTATTATCAGAATGCTTTACTAGAAACATTTCTGTTGCTTCCCGTCTCTTCTTGTCTAGCTTTCACCGTCATATATGAGGACTTATATTACGTAACTGTTCAGTATTTTTCCTTGATTCTTATTAAATTTAGTCATCTCTTCACGCTGATATTTTCAGTTCTCTCACAAATGCCTCACGAGGATGTAAAGAAAGTAATGTTGCTACCACAGAGTTACAAGATTGGTTCTTGAAAGTATCCATTAGAATAAAGGAAAATAGCTGTTTTCCTTTTTTAATAGCCGTCACAATAATAAAATAAACTGAAAACAATTGGTCTTGCTACCTACTGACTAGCATATATAAAGCGTATATATCGAGCGACTATCCAATCCCTATGGCTTTAAGGTTGTATTAAAGCATGAAAGAGATTGTCGTCATTAGATTGTCGTTTAGTTACGTGTCCTCTTACATATTGACACTCTCTATCCCGGAAATACAGCTTATCTTAAAACTATATATTATAAGAAATCTATTCTATGTAACGCCTCTGAATGGACATCATGCTATTTTAATGTTACTATTCATGGATATATATATATATATATATATATATATATATATATATATATATATATATATACTCGACTCTCCCATCGAATTCGACGTATGAGGGTCAAGCAGATCAGTTCCTAGGAAACCGACAGCCCGACAACAGCACATGGGATTTGATTATAGTGGTGAAGGTTTCGTGCAGGAGCATCCACACTTTTTGAAGGGATGAATACAGAGATCTGGTGCACTACGTGCCACAAGGTTCCCAAAGGACCCTCCGCAGGTTTTGAATTTAGAGTTGTACTTCTCCTAGACCAGTTGCCGTCCAAGGCTATAGAACCCAGTCTGTCCTGTTATTTACCCATAGCTAGAGGGAAAAGAAGAGGATTCACACCTTTCCCAAGGTATTAGCACGTAAGTGAATGTAATGGATTCGACTGGAATTCGAACTCAAAACAAGCCGCTATATACGAATTAAGTATATAAGATTTGAAGTATATATATATATATATATATATATATATATATATATATATATATATACACTTTCTGCTAAAGTCCTATTAGAAGACAAAACGTGTTACACAGAATATTTTTCATTATATTTACACAATGTGCACACACTCAGACATAGACATAAAAACACACACATACATTATTATTATTATTATTATTATTATTATTATTAAAGAAAAAACAAAACTGTCGGTGGAACAAATAGACGACTTGCCAAAAAAACTACACGTTCTCGGCCAATATGAAATCTCAAAAGAACAGGAAAAAGAAACAAGGATTAAAAATGGCAAAACTGGATTAACTGGACAAAAAAAGTATGGCCCTAGTCCTAACCTGAGTTTGACACGATCTTCAAATGAGTTTAATCTTATATATATATATATATATATATATATATATATATATATATATATATATACGAGGATCTCTGCAAATTTAGTAGGCTTACTATGAAGGAGTTGTGCTAGAACAGTCCAATCTTTCATACATTCACTTCAAATCTTCTTATTAGCGACTACTTTATTTTCTTCCATGTAATCTGATATCTGTTGAAAGAAAACTTCAAAAGTAACTAATAGTGACTTCTCTTGATAATAGACAAAATTGGGCCTAGTGGTCTTTATCACGTATCTGCAGAAAAAAGGGTTTAGGCCCTAATGGACATTATGCTGACATAGTTGCTATATTAAAGATGCCCCTTCCAGCTTTATAAACAATGTTAGTGGGCAGTGAATTTAGGAGGCGAAATGGTGAGTTTTGAAGATGACTCGATATATGACCGTCCTGCAACTTCTATCACCGATGAAAACAGTGATTGTTTTTCACCACATGGTGATGGATGACCAGCGATCAACTATAAATTAGCCAATCCCATTATCATATACTGTGAGAGAGTTTAGAATATTCTGCACGTATTGCAGTGATTGGATCATATATATATATATATATATATATATATATATATATATATAGATAGATAGATAGATAGATAGATAGATAGTCAAAGATTGGGGTTTTAAATAATTTCACATAATAATTCATGGAGTCTGGAGTAAGAATCCTCACCAGAATGGCCGTTTCGTCCACTACTGATAAGACATGGTATTTCAGCAAAATCCGACACTTGACAAAAACAAAACAAAATAGGCACTAAAAACAAAAGTTTTATATACAGAGACCCGACAGTTATTTTAGCAACAGTTACAATTACATCCTACATTATTTTTCAATGCAACCGCCGCCGAGGACGACCATTTCAAGGCGGGCGCGAAATGAGTCACACGCTTTGGCGAGTATGTCCTTGTCCATACCGGCGAACGCCTCTACATTGGCAGCCTTCTGAGAGTCGACCGTGTTGTGGGTGTGCTTTTTGGTCAGGCCCCTGAAGAAGTAGTCAAGGGGGTTACAGTCAGGTGAGGAGGGCGGCCACAAGTCCGGCGACCAGTGGTGAGGAACATTGTTGAGCAGCCACGCTTTGGACGTGTGCAGGAGAGGAGTCCATTCAAGGCTTCACCACGCTCCTTAGCGCTTCCTGGTAGATCTCAGCGGTGACTCTCAGGATCTTTTGAAAGAAGAACGGAGGCATGACGTCCCCCCTCGCTGCACACAAGGCCAAGACGACACAGTCGTGGCTGCTCAACAATGTCCCTCACCACTGGTCGCCGGAACTGGGGCCGCCTTCCTCACCTGACTGCAACCCCCTTGACTATTTATTCTGGAACGTGATCGAGGCCAAGACCAACAAGCACGCCCAGAAGTCGCCAAAGCGTGTGACTCATTTCGCTCCCGCTTTGAGATGGTCGTCACCGCCGGCGGCGGTTACAGTGAAAAATAATGTAGTATGTAACTCTAACTGTTGCTAAATATACTGTCGGGTCTCTGTATATTAAACTTTTTGGTTTTTATTGCCTATTTCGTTTTCTTTTTGTCAAGTGTCGGATTTTGCTGCAACACCCTGTATCATTTATTGCTGTGTTTCTTAGCTAGCGCCAAAAACATTCCGTGCCTAGGTAATACATTGGAACTTACCATATCCAGCAAAAGACCTAAGACTATTAAAATTTGTTGCATGCCGCGTTACATTATGTTCGGTTTCATATTAAGGCAGCTGATCATGTTTTTTGAATACATAGCGTACCTTCTTTTCTCTCTCTCTCTCTCTCTCTCTCGCTCTATATACGCACACACATAAATACATATAGATAGATAGATAGATAGATAGATAGATAGATAGATATCAGTGTGTGTGTGTGTGTGTACAAGATATTCTTTAAAAGGAACAGAACATACGTAGTGTTCTAAATTCTTTTTGCTTTTACTAATATGTTGTCAGTTTTCCTCTTGTTCGGTCCTGTAGCTAAGAAATAAAACAGTAATCAATAAAAACTATTCAGTTTGCTACTCTGTCAGATATAAAATTACAAGTCCACTCATAAAACAACTTTTTTATGTAAAGATGTGGTCCAGTTTTTGCGGAATTGAGAAATTAATAGATACTTGAAGCGAGTTTGATGTATCTTTATGATACACTTTGGGTGTAACTGTCATTTTATCCTTACCCCTGAGACATGTTGCCGTTAAATAACGCCAATATATATAATCCGTCTTATTATTCGGATAACACCGAGAAAAACGCACAGAAAATCAGCCATCACATACATCAAATGTACTCCCGGCATATTTTGAGTAGACACTTTGTCCTGGGTTTCTGCTTAATCTCCTGAAATGCAAGATTTTACACAGAAAAAGAAAGACATAAAAGGAATAAGAAATATGACACTTTAAAACAAATCTAGAAAAAAGTAAGTATTGAAAAATGCCTATTGACTTAGATGTAACAGACAAATTCTGCTGTGTATATATTAACCCCTAACCAGACCAGTAATCTGGTGTAACGAGCTTTACTGAATTAATCTGAATTTAATAGGAGTAGATAGGTTCGTCTATCGTCCAGTTCATACACCTGTCATTTTTAACAAAATTAGCGCTTTATCCCATGTTTGCTGCTTAGTATGGGTTTCCAGTTCCTTAAACTTTGCACTTCTGATGTTTCCACCAGAAATGTGAAATTTTATTCGATAATTAATATGTCCTCCTAAGGCAATAGGAGTAGATAGGTTTACCTATCGTCTGCTTCATACAACTGCCATTTTTTAACAAAATTAACGCTTTATCCCATGTTTCCTGCTTAGTATTGGGTTTCAAGTTCCTTAATCTTTGCACTTCTGATGTCTCCACCTGAAATGTGAAATATTATTCAGTAATTAATGTCTTCCTATTCCAAAAGGAGTAGACAGGTTTGCTTATCGTCTGGTTCACAGCCCTTCCCTGTCTTTTGAACAAGAGTAGTGTTTTAGTTCTTGTTTCCTGTTTAGTATTGAGTTTCCGTTTCCTTCTAAAGCCTACTTCAACTCTGTACTTCTAACGACTCGGCCAGAACACTGAAATTTTATTCACTAATTCAATCTTGACCTCTTCAAGTCAACTGTTAACTGCTATCTTTCATACATAACCCCAAGAAATTCACCTCTTGCCCTTTCTTACTCTAATACAACTCCACACAGTAATTCTCTACCTTGAGTGGCTCTTGTGACTTGAATTGGGTGATAAATATTTTAAAATACCTAATGCTAAGCAGTTCGTGCACAAAAAGGGAGCAGGAAGTTAGATTGTAGCTGCGAACATCAATCATTAACAAAAAATATTTCATCTATATTGACAAAAATGTTAAGATATGTGTAAGTATGCTTAATATGTAACGGCAACATATCAAATGCATCTGATATGTGCAGTGGTGCATCGAATAAAACTAGAAAGAGCCTATCGAACATGCATCTAACGAAATGGATTTTTACGTTGTCTTTAGCATCGGAGAAGCTAGAATTTTGAATACAATCAAATAACGCGAACAGAGTTTGTACTGCATAAGCTTTGAATAGAAAACATTTTTTAAAAATGACATATCTATTGACAAACTAATCCTGGGATGTAAACAGCGCTATTGCATCAAACTGTAAGTGACGTTTATCTATAAATATCTCGGAAAACGAATGCTGACTCGTAACTCACATTAGAATTAAACTAATGCAGATGTGTACCTTGAATAAACCCATTGCAAGTTATTTAAAGCCAGGAATTGTTTATGGATTGTAAGGTTTTTTGCGGTGTGGGAGTAATAATGATGTAGTCATACAAGTCTTAATAAGTGACCCATAGCTGGAGAGAGAAGAGGTGGATTCATATCTTTTGAAGCATATTCGTGCGTAAATGAATATAACGTAAATGAAGAATAATAAATAATTTTTTTTCCAACAGAAACTGGAACTCGGCTCTCCCATTAACAATTCCCAGCTCTTATGCACCCGCACATCCAAGCTTATAGCTCCTGATATTCCCAAGTGGTCACTTATATCGGTTGTAACCGGGTTCAACGTTACTTAACCTACGGAACCGGTTTGTCAATGTGTACTTTAAAGCTTTGGTTTGGTTGTTTTTGGTTTGGTTGTTTTTGGTTTGGTTGTTTTTGGTTTGGTTGTTTTTGGTTTGTTTATTTAAGAGGATACTAACTCCTTATCGGTCATTTAATGTTGAAATTTTATTTTCCTGTGAGGTGTGGAATTTTTTTTCCAGGAATGTATTGCTGGTAATTTCTTTTCTAATAATATATTGAGAAAAATTTATTTTTTATTGTTTTTACTATGAAAATGTATTGCTGGTAATTTATTTTCTAATAATATATTGAGGAAAATTTATTTTTATTGCTTTACTATGAAAAAATATTGCTGGTAATTTTTTTAGTATATTTTTATATTTTCATGTTTTAACACCAGTTTGAGATTTCACTATTTGCCCATAGATATTCTACCAACTCGGGTTATGGTGGACCTGAATACGACATCAATTAAGAGGCAGATCCACGCTCCTCAAAACTCCCAATCAAAGGCTTGGCTACTGGAGGTAGTTTATCGTCAGGATTAAAGCTTTGAATCATGCATTTACATTCGAGCTGGCATATTAATCCCGTTGTTATTTTCCCAAATGTTCGATCATCTATCCTCCGACCTTATTCAGGTGTCTCTTATTGTACACATTAACATGGCAGGAAGTTTCAAGAGAACAATTTATCTCATAAACCTGGTTAGGTTATTCTCATTTTGATTTCTATTTTCCAGGAAATATTTCTCATCAACTTGTATTCACCTTTATGTCAGCCCTCTTTCTTCTGATTAATGCAGCGTAACTTTCCGAGACTATCCGATCCAAAAGTAGAATTGAAAAGATCCAAGGAAACAGATAGGTATTCAACAAGTTTTTAATCCATACGTCCATACTAAGATCATAGAATTCATGAGTTTACTTTATCAGGTGACGAATTGATTTAGTGTCCTTTTTCTAATAATAGTTTCTAAGATAGTATTCATCTATATGCTTAATATATTGATGCCACTGTCATAAATTAACATCTTTCTGTGTTGTTCTCTTTCTATCACGGTACACAGATACTGATGACTACATTTGGCTTCTATGTGCAGAGCCCGATAGAAATATATCCCGCATTTTAAACTATCACTTTTTTGGTTCTAATAAACTTAGGCAAGTGTCAATGTCGTCTTCATCTATCTAATTTTTTTTACTATTTTATTTCAGATACCACGTTGTCATCATGAATTGGACAGGTGCATACCGCGCAAACATATTAACTTTTTGTTTTTAATCTGTAATTACAACACAAAGAGGTTTTATTGCTCATTTCATCTTACGTGGAAATGATGCTATTCCGGATAGAAAATCAGCGATGATATCGGTCGGAAATTTCAGGCACGCAAGTTCAGGGTTTAAAAGAAAATCACTGAGACGTCTTCGAAATGCTTGATGTTTCCGGGTAATGGGAAATATTACAGCATTGTATGGCTAATAGGGGCCACCATTTTGAGGTTGTTATTTTTACAACCAGATAATAACTATATGCATTCGTTTAGACAAGAATGAAATAATTGTTTTTGGAACTATTTTGGTTCTCTTATTAACCTTTAAAACATTGGAGATATTCCTACATCACCGTATATAATCTACTATGTCTGATTTCAATGTGTCTGCCCAGACGAAAGTATTTTGATTATCGTTAGCTTTAATGGATAGCTAGTCCTTTCTATGTCTCACTTGCTAAAATGCACTGGAGTGAATAAACTCGTTTGAATTTGACACTTACACTAGATTATTTAATTCAATTCCTGGATTGAAAATGTCTGTGGTCTTGTACCAAATTGAATTCAGTTTATTCATGAGAAAACATTTTTCCAGAAAACAAAATGACTACATTAGAACATTATTGCAGTATCATAGAAATTAACACCACGTCATTACATTTATTTGCGAGACTTATGGACAGTGTGAATGTCAGTGGTTATTTAAAAAAAAATCTATGCGGGTTTATTACAGTACCTATGTTACAACTCAACTTCATTTTTAAGTCGATTCAGGTCAGTTCAGTGTTTCTTAATTTTCCGTGAGATATGGGGACCAGTAAAACGACTAGGGTACCCTTTTTAAAACAACGGCTCTGATCATATCACCTCACCTGTGTTTGTGACGTTGGCAACTGAAGCCTAGATGACAGACAAACGTGTCGTATGTCCGATGGATCACAGTCTCAATTGCCTCGGGCTGATGGTAGTTTTCGGATGTGGTGTCCAACCACGAAGCCAGAGACCGGAGTTCTCAACTAGGCACTCTGCAAGATTTTTGTTGTTCCATAACGAAATGGAATGGGTTCATTTGCCAAAGATTGGATCGAACTGTCCGCTTAAATACGACTAACGTCTTCAATTTTATGTCGTCAACTAAATATATTTGGAACACAATTGTTTGCGTTCAACTACATATATTTTTACATAATAGTATACTTTCAGGGTAAACGTACGTTTCATATAGTTTGTATTAACTATTTTAGTATCCACAAATATTGTACATACTTAAGTTTACTCCTTTGTCGATAGTCAAATAAGTATTATACAAACAGAATATGTATAACTTCCTTAATTTTTCTAAGTCATCAACGTTCATGTTTAATTTAGAGTACGAATATATTTATTTCGACTTGCGACGTATTATGTTCTCCGTCAAAGGGATGACTATTAGCGGCACAGCAAGACATCTGTGATATTTGACCTATGATCCTAAATTCTTGAAAAGTTTGAAATGATTCATTTTCACTTTTTTTTAATGACAGTTATGTCTGAATACGATATTATATTTTAACAATAGCACCGAATAGATTTTGCTTCGAGTGGTTGTCTAATGGCCTTGAGTTGTAAATAC